ACTTTACTAATATAAATTATAAAACTACTCTAAGGTTTATCCCTTAGGAATAGCTAACCTATACTAACCTATAGGCACTAGTTTATTACATAAAGTAGTAAAATTAATTTATATATATAAGCTTAATAAATATTATAAAATTAAAAAAACTATATAGTAAATTATATAATACTTTAAATTTAAAAATATTAAAAAATAAATATAAAAGGTTATATTAAAATATATAATATATAAATAAGCTAAAGTATTATATTATTTTCCTTATAAAAAACTATAACTTTTACTAATTTTAGTTAAAAATTAAAAATTAATAATATTTAATTATATTATAAAGCTTTTACTTTTAAAAGAACTTATAATTAATAATACTTAAGATAGTATTTTCGTAGTAATTAATTAACTTTTAAAAATATATAATAAACTAGGTCCTATAGGCACTATAGGTTAGCTATTTCTAAAGGATAAACCTTAGAGTAGTTCTATAGTTTATATAAGTAAAGTAATTAGGTTAGTAGATAGGTAATTTTATTACTAACTATAAAATAAATGTGACAAGCTGAGCTCCTATAGTGTTAGTATAAGAGGAATTCCTAAGGGATAAACCTTATACTAGGTTTATGTTGGCGGATAGGCTAGGCTGGACTGGCGGGCAATTAATTAAGGATAGAAGGGGTTTATTCACATAACTAGTAAATAATACTCATAGGTATAATTAAGTGTTATTCTGTATTCACAACTAGCTATCTAAACTATTCTAAACAAGTATATAAATGAAACTTATATATCCAGTTGTGCTAGGTAAGGTCGTTTATGATTATATTAACTATGGACGACTTAGATTATATATAGTCGTGTTAACTTAGAACGACTTTAATCCTATTAATTGGATCATCCGGAGTTAAACCGGGTGTTGCCTACCTAGGAGGCCTGTTGTTACAACTATATATATTAGGTCGTAATATAATATCCCCCTCCCGTTAGTCTTATCCTTAAGGCTATCCTTGCAGTAGTATATCCCTTAAGTATCCTTGCCCTCCCTTTTTTCTAAGTAAGTGTATTTTTCTTCCTTACCTTTTACTATGTTAGGTCGTGGTATTATTAAGCGTAAGCCCTTTGTAAAGCCGACTGTTGCGTTAATTCTGTTAGTTAAGTTTATTAAAGATTTTGGTTTTACTATGCCTTAGTGTACTTTTTGTTAAAATACGAAGCGTGTTTGTTTTATTGCGGAGGGGTCTTCGACCCGTTGTTATACTTGTGTTTATCGTAAGCTAACTAATTGCGATGTTAGTGGTATAAGCGCGGAGGCGTGTGCGTTTTCCTTTTGCTTTATCTATTATTTTTGTTTTAATTTATTCAGATGCTTATATTACGCAGGAGAAGGACTGCTTAGCTGCTTAGCAAGAGTAGGCGGAGGAAGCTTTTAAGGAAGCGATAGCTCGTCTTTATTATATCCGTAAGTAAAAGCAGCAGTTGCGTAAAAAGGCTGCAGAGATAGTTTCTTATGGATTTAAGTTATTGGAGGAGTTAGAGGCCGCTGACCGTTAGGCTAAGACGGAGCGTTAGGCTAAGTTAGCGCAGGTTTAGGAGGAGGAGGCTAGGCTTCTTAACTCCTTAGGTCTGCTACCTACTGGCGTTAACTAGTCTTTTTTTAATGTTAATTTAGGGTTCTTAGATCCCGATCTTCTTATTTTAACGGGGGGTGTTCCTTTATTGTTTTCTTAGGTTTTGCAGGGCGTTCCGGTTTTTCCTATATTTATTTTTATTTTATTTATAATTGTTTACGGAGTTTATTTTGGAAGGTTTTTAAAGTAACGCTAATGTATTTAAAATTACTTTCTGGTTCCCAGCTGTCTGCGTCCTTATTATATCCTTTCTATTCCACTAGGTATTAGAGTTTACCAGTTGCTTTATTTATTTTTAGCAATATTATTTTATTAACCTTATATTTAAGTTCTTCGCCTTTAATAATGATTTTATCCTTAATAAGTTCTCTTGTATTTTTATCTATTAGTGCTTTTTCTAATAGTGAGATATAAAAATTCGGGTAGACTGGTTTTCCTTATTTATTTAGTTACTCTAGAAGGTCTAGTTTATAGTTAATTTCGCCGATTTTCTTTAAAATCTTATAAAGCCCGACTTTTTTATAATCTATGTCACGACCCGGCTCTTAAGGTCGCGACAATGGGCCAACAGGTTGGTCCGGACCGGATTAACTTTAATCCCCCAACCAATCAGGGAAGGATTGAGACATAACTTCTTGATCCAACAGTGGATTAATAAATTATTCACCGATCTAGGAAAGGATCGATATTCTATACATCGATCCAGTCTAGGTTAACTGGATATATAAGTTCACTTTATATTACTTATTAAAATACTTAGATAGCTAGTTATTATTATAATATTTATAATATAATTAGATTAGAACACAGATATTTATTCTTATTTGTATTATTAGCTAGTGATAAAATTGCCCGTTACCAACCTAATCGCTCCGCTAACATAAACTATAGAACTACTCTAAGGTTTATCCCTTGGAAACAGCTAACCTATAGTACCTATAGGAACCCGGTTCATCACACGATAACAACTCTTATTTAGACGGTTACCTTAGACCTACGGGCAATAAGACACTAAGAACTCAGCAGCCTATAAGCTTTAGAGTTCTAGATAATAATACTAATTACGAAAGCGAAGCTTAAAGTAACTACGACAGCGATATTAAGCTTAAAGATACGCTAGCCGAAAACATAGCTAATTAAGCTAACTATGATAAACTAAAGGCTAAGTTTAAAGCTCTTAAGACATAGCTTTAGGACCTTTAAAATAGAAAAAGGGAGAAGGGTAAGGTTATTAAACTAACAAAGCCTAAACCCTTTAATAAAGATTTACGTAAGATGGATAAGTTCTTTTTAGAATTTTTAACCTACTTCAGATACTTTCCCTATACCCTGAAGGACGACGAAGATAGAGTTATTTTTGCAGGCAGCTGCCTTGCAGGAGACGCCGAAATATGGTTCCGACTTATTATACAGAATTACGAAGAAGGAAAGATTAATTTGAAAAAGCTTAAAACGTAAACTGAAGAAATTTATACTAAGTACGCGGAATTTCAGAAGTAACTTAGAAAGTCCTTTAGTACTATAGATGAATAACAAGAGGCTAAGTAAGAACTTCGTTTTATTACTTAAAAAGGACTACTGAGTAAGTATACTTTAACCTTCTTACGCCTGTTGACTAAAGTCAACTAGACTAAGAAAACAAAAAAGGAAGTCTACTATAATAGTGTAAAACCTAAAGTTAAAGATGAACTTTTTAAAATTAACCGCAAGGAAACGACCTTTATTAACTATACCTAAAAAGCTATTGAGATTAATAATCGCAATTAGGAACAACAGAAAGAACGGAAGTAAGAAAAAAACGGAAACTTCTATAACGTCTAACCTAAGCGAACTTAAGGACACTAAGCTAACTAAGGAAAGAAGTGAAACAATTATATTACTTCTTTTAATAATAGACGACTAGGGCTGATAGACCTTAGCACTATTAAGGTATAACGTAAGAACGTTAAATACTATAATTATGGGGAAAAGGGATATATAAAGAAATACTGCCAAGCTCTTAGAAAGAACGGTAATAAGAAATTTACACCTGTCCTAGAGCCTAAGGAAAACCGAACTGTTAATACTATAAGACCTTCGGTAGACTATAATATACTATACTTCTTAGTATACTATAATAATAACTGCTAGACCTATTACAGTAATAAACAAAGATCTGGATAGTACCCTAAGGGGCGTATATAAACCTTAAATATACTTAAAGAGATTACCTAAACGCACTTAGAAGAGAATAGGATAGTAGAATAAGACACAGCGTCCTTAATGTAATATAACCCTTGCGAAGGATTAACATAAGAAGAAATCAATGACCTTAAAAAACGTATGTATAACTAATGTAGGTTAGTGGAACCTAAAAGCATTTACTACCCCTGTAAAATAACTACAGCGGACTGGGAATAATATGAAGATTAATATAAAATCTAAAGTATTATTGAAGAAAATAAACGCTACGACGAAATTGTACGACAAAAAGAACTTAAGGACTAACAGAGACTCCTTAAACAATGGGGATAGATTAAATAGATTGATCTAAGTACCGCCTACGACTAAATTTAATTACCCGGAAACCGGTTTCGATAATACATTAAGACTAATGTAAGTGAATACCCGGTGGCTAAGTTACTAAAATTAGCTATTTACTTCGTTGACGACATCTTGCTTATAGACTAATATAATAAAGCTAATATTATTAACTACAAGCTACTACTGTGTAAATAATATATTATAACTAAGCTTAATAAATAGCACGAGGATTACGGAGCTGCCGAATGTAGATAAAAAGAATTCTCGCTTTGCAACAGAGACCGTTGTAGGAAGCACTAATATTAACGCCAAGCCCTCGTATGTGTTACCTACAACCTAGAACGACAAGGATTTAACCTTGTGAAGTATAATAACGACGACAAATTATAAGGAATTAACTAAAATAACCTTCGGAAGTATTATAAGCTTACCGCCAGACACGTCCCCTAGCCTGGATATACCTGGTGCAAATGCTATAATATTCGAAATAAAGAACTAGGATGGATTACCTTAGACCTAGATAATATTAAGATTAACCCCTATGGTAATAATTACTACGACGGTGCTAATAATGCGACCTACTATAACTTAAATACCTTTACAGGAGGAAAGAAATTATAAAAATTCTAAGTACCAGGTACTTTAGAAGGATATTTAATTATAGTCTATATAAACTCCGGAGCTATAATAAGCTATATTATGCCTTAACTAGTTAATTGCCTATAGTTAACCTATTGTAAGAAGGAGAAATTATATACCTTTGCGAATATTAAAAAATAATAATTCACCTATAATAACGGAACTGTTAACTATAAGACCGATTACCTTAAAATCTAGTTTAGTAAGATTAAGGATACGTTTAGTTTCGATATTATAAATATTACAGGATATAATATACTTTTAGGATACGATTAGCTTAAGTTACGTAACCCTAATATCGATTAGAAGGAAGGCTATGTAATATAGCAACGTTACGCTTAATTAACTAATATTACAGCGAAACTGTAACTAGATTAGGAGGATCGACAGGATACTATAACATCCCTGACGACAGGATTAGTAACCCCTGTATTAAATAAAGAAATATAAAAATATATAGAAAAAGAAAAAGTTATAAAAAAGGTACGATTTAAGGAGCTAGCAAAGCCCCTAAGGATAATTAAATACGTTAAGAAACTAAAGAAGAAACAACTTAGATTTCTTAACTTAATTATACAGAAGGTTAAGGAACTATATTACTAAGACTAACAGATACTGGAACGTTTAAAAAATGTACTAGCAGACCTTTAGTATATATTAGTCTTTAATAAAGAACTAAACACTGGACTACTAGAATACAGCTAATGGGATTATAAAATTAAACTTATAAATAATAAAGTTCTAACGTTTAATAAGATCTATAACCTAAGTACTACTAAGCTTAAAATACTTAATAAATAAATTAGGGACTAGCTAAAGAAGGGCTACATTAGACCTTCCAAATCCTTAGCAGGATATCTAGTTATATTTATACCTAAAAAAAATAGTAAACTTTAACTTATTATAGACTACTGATAATTAAATGCAATAATTAAGAAAAATATTATACTACTACTACTAATTTTAGAAATTAAAGACTAGCTTATAGGAGCTAAGATTTTTACTTTATTAGATCTTAAAGGAGTATATAACTTTATTTAAATTAAAAAAGGCAATAAATAGAAAACCGCCTTCTGTATAAAATATAGACTTTATAAATACTAGGTAATGCCTTTTAGATTTACAAATACCCCAGTATCTTTTTAAAAAATAATTAACTACGTATTATAAGATTACGTAGATTATTTTGTTATTATATACTTTAACGACATTCTTATTTACTTTAAGAACTTAGAAGAATATAAGGAATACGTTAAGAAGGTACTATAAATACTTTAAGATAATAAACTCCTGGTAGAACCTGAGAAATGTAACTTCTATATACAGAAGGTTATATTTTTAGGATATATTATTACCCTAGGTAAAGTCTAAATAGACCCTGAGAAACTTAAGGCAATTAATAATTAGGAACTGCTATAGAACGTTAAGTAAGTATAAAGCTTCTTAGGACTTACTAATTATTATTAACGCTTTATTAAAGACTTTTTAAAAATCGCTATACTACTTACGAATTTAATAAAGAAAGATATTAAATTCGAACTAATATAAGATGCTTTAACAGCTTTTAAATACCTTAAACAAGCCCTTATAAGTACGCTAGTATTTATAATGTTTAACCTTAATAAACCTATTACTATTAAAACTGATGCTTTAGATTATGCAATCGGTGGAGTACTTAGCCAACTAGACGATATAAAGAAAAAGAAGCTTAGGCCTATTGCCTACTTCTTTAAGAAATTATATAGACTAGAACTTAGATACCCTATTTACGATAAGGAATTTCTGGCTATATACTAAGTGCTTAGTAAGTAGTATTAGAGATACTATTGTGAAGGAAGTTGATTTTTAGTAATGATCCTTATGGATTACTAGAATATTACTTACTTTATGATAATATAAGAACTATTCTGTAGATAAGTTAAATATTATAAGCGACTTTCTAAATTTAAGCTTATTATTAAATACTGCAGCGGATTAGATAATAGATAAGCTGATATACTTAGCAGATGCTTAGACTACTTCTAGGAAATCCTGGAAGTTAAAGCCTAAATACTGGAGAAAAACTAGTATAGAGACCTAGTTATCTAATTAATTAATACCTTATACTAAATTAAGATAGACGACTTAATTATTAACGATATAAAGGAATACGTTAAGAACTGGGAGAATAAATAATACCTAGAAGGTGTTTTTATAAATATTAGATACCTAATACTAGATGGACTTATCTAAGTACTAGAAGACTTACGAAGCAAAGTGGTAAAATTAGTTTACGTATATAAGCTTAACGAACACCGTAGAATTAGAAAAATTATATAATAAATTATATAATACTTTAAATTTGAAGGTATTAAGAAATAGGTATAAAAGGTTATATTAGAATGTATAATATGCGGACGAGCTAAGGTATTATGCTACCTTCCTTACGGAAAACTATAACCTTTACTAGTTTTAGTTAGAAATTAGGAATTAATAATATTTAACTATATTATGAAGCTTCTACCTTTAAAGGAACTTATGACTGGTAATACTTAGGATAGTATCTTCGTAGTAGTTAACCGACTTTTAAAAATGGCTTACTTTATCTTAGTAATAGAGAAAAGCTTTACAGAAGACTTAGCTTATGTCTTTTTTTAATATATTTATGCAAACTATAGACTACTAAATAAGATTATCTTTAATAGAGGATTAACGTTTATGTTAAAATTTTGGTAATTACTTATGGTATAAATTAGATTAAAATATAAAGCTAGTATAGCTTACTATCTACAGATAGATAGATAAACGGAATAAATTAACTAAATTATTAAGATATATTTATAATATTACATTAACTTTAATTAAGATAATTGGGTAGAATACTTACTAACTGCTTAAGTATTTTATAATAGTACGTTAGTAGAATTTATAAACTACTTACCGTTTTACGTAAACTATAGGTTTAAACTAGATCTACATCGGCCACCTATTAAAGGAGAAAACGCTAGTAAAGCTATTATTATAGCTAATAAACTTAAAGAACTGCATTAAGAATTGCGAGTATAACTTAAATTTGTTAGATAATAAATGGCTAAATTTGCAGATATAAGAAGGATTAGAGGATTAACCTTTAAGGAGGGAGATATAGTTTACCTACTTTAATACTTACGAAACAATAAGTAGCCAAATATTAAAATAAATAGGCTAAGTAATAAGCTTGATTTTAAGAAACTTGGACTTTATAAAATTACGAAGAAAATTAGACCTGTTAATTATAAAATAAATCTTCTACTTGCCCTAGGAAAATAAGGAAGAACTGTATATCCGAATTTCTATATTTTACTACTGGAAAAAGTACTAATAGATGAAGAAATAAGTGAAGTTATACAGAATAAAATTATTATTTAAGGCGAAGAACTTAAATACGAAGTTAAGAAGCTTGAAATAATAAGATTTAATAAAGATACCTAATAAACTAAATACCTGGTGAAATAGAAAGGTTATGATGAAATAGAAAAATTATAGTAAACTATTAAGGACCTTGAACACTTAAAAGACCTTGTGAATGACTTCCACCGAAGTTTAGGTTTAGTAAAGAAGGGTCAAAAGCGTCCTAATCAACAGCGTTAACTGCGGAACCCGCAGTCACGGGATCAGTTGGATTAGGTAATGATGTTGCAGCCTGACGAGCGGCCTCCGCTTCCTTGCGCTTAACCCTATCTAACTCCTCTAAGTTATTGATACCCCGCGCAACTGCACGAGTTATTTTCTCTAGCCACAGACGTTTCTGTTTACGAAGACATTCGATCTTTGCATTAACTGTTTTATGCTCCTCTTCGGCCTCTTTAAGAGTATTTTCGTACTGAGTATAAAATAAAGCAATTTTTCGGAGCTGAGCTGACGATAATGGACGTGCGTTACATAAGGATTTGTTGTCCTTTATACATTCGGTACAGCGAGTAGAATCTTCTTTGGATATTTAATACTCTGAGAAGCTCCGCTTCTTCTTATTAGAACAATACGTGCAGTCTTTTATTCTGATAGGACGAGATAAGATGATTTCCAAAAGAACGTTGTGACGCTTTGTCTTGGGATGAGATTTTTTGCGAATACCTGACATAATGATTAACAAAGATGTATAAAGATGAGGGAAAAACCAGGACACTAACGAGAATGGGGGGAAGTAGCTACTTATACTGGATACAGCAAGGTCTTAAGGATAAGACTAACAGGAGGGGGATATCGTGTTATGACCCGGCTCTTAAGGTTGCGATAATGGGCCAATAGGTTGGTCCGGACCGGATTAACTTTAATCCCCCAACCAATCAGGGAAGGATTGAGACATAACTTCTTGATCCAACAGTGGATTGATAAATCATTCACCGATCCAGGAAAGGATTAATATTCCATACATTGATCTAGTCCAGGTCAACTGGATATATAAGTTTACTTTATATTACTTATTAGAATACTTAGATAGCCAGTTGTTATTACAGCATTTACAATATAATCAAATTAGAACACAGACATCTATTCTTATTCATATTATTAACTGGTGATAAGATTGCCCGTTACCGACCTGATCGCTCCGCCAACATAAACCATAGAACTACTCTAAGGTTTGTCCCTTGGAAACAGCTAACCTATAGTGCCTATAGGAACCCGGTTCGTCACAATCTAGCTTATCGCTTAGCCTGTTTATTTTAATATTAGCTTATTTTTCTCCTTAAGTATATTAAAGTAGGTAAACTATATCTCCCTCCTAAAGGGTTAATTCTTTAAGTCTTTTTTCGTCTATATACTTCCTTATGCGTTCTTATATAAGTTTAAGTTACGTACGTAGTTCTTAGTGCAGTTCTTTAAGCTTATCTACCTTAAGTATAGCTTTTTATATATCTTTTCCTTTTTGTAGTATTTAGTATATTTATAGGTAATACCTTTTATTAATGTAAAATAGTAAAAGCTTTATTAATTTTAAAACTAAATTGTTATAGGAGAATTCTATATTAGGTAAGTATTTAACCTAGTTATTCTAATTAAAGTTAATGTAACTTCGTAAGTATACTTTAATAATCTGGTTAGTGTATTTTATTTATTTGTCTGTTTAAGGGTAGTAAGCGGTACTGGCTTTGTAGTTTATACTTATTTTTACTGTAGCGCTTTACTAATATTTAGATATAAACGTTAATCCTCTGTTGGAAATGATTTCCGTAGGTAATCTATGTTTTAAGGCTATATATTTTTATATTATATAGCCTAATTTTTCTACTGTACTGCTTTCTTTATATAGGATAAAGATACCTTATTTTATTAATTTATTAATAATGACGAAGATACTATTATATACTATATTTATTATAGGCTCCTTTAATAATAGTAGCTTAATAATATAATTAAATAAGATAGAGCTTTAAGGGTGCTTTAGTATTAGTAATAGTTATAGTTTACTATATAGTTTTTGTTAACTAGACTTTGTTTTTGCGTATAAGATGTATAATTAAATAATTCCTTTAATAACTTTCTTTATACTTATAAAGGTATAGTACTATTATATTTATTATAGTATTTTAATAACTCCCTTATGTCTGTGTAGTAAATGCTTATAAACCGTTTTTATTACTTCTTTCTACAGTAATTCTAGTACTTAGATTTTATTATTCTAATATAGGATTCCTTCTGTAAGGGTTATATCTTTAGGGAATTAGTCTAGCGTTTAATTACTAACTTTATCCTTAATTTTATCGAGGATAGGGTTTCCGTTTTTAATTATAAAGAGGGTGTTAATAGTTACTAATTTATAATACCCTTCTGCCGTTTTTTAAAATATTAGCGAGGTAAGTTTTAGTATTAGTTTAAAGTAGTCTTCTCTATAGTTAAAAGCGTCTACGTAATTATTTTCTAATCTTTTACAGGGTATAATCTTAAAGTTATACTTGGCTATAAGCCTAAGATACTTTTTTTACCGTGTGGAAATATTTATTTCTTTTGTAGCTAGGCTTATAAGATTTTTGTAATTAGAATATATAGTAATTTTATGCTTATTGCCTAATAGGTATAATTTCTATTTTTTAAATGCTTTAAAGATAGCTATAAGTTCTTAGTTGTATATAGAATATTATAGTTTAGGACTATAGAGTTTCTTAGAAAAGAAGGCTACTGGATGTAGTATTTCTTTATTATCTCGTTAGCTAAGAACTCCTTTAATTATATAGTTTAAGGCGTCTGTTTTAATAATAACTAGCCTCTTTAGGTTATACATCCGTAGTACTAGTACACTAGTAATAGTTTCTTTAAGGGCTTTAAAAGCTTTAAGAGCCTTTCCTATGTATTTAATTAGTTAATTCTTCTTAACCTTATCGTTAAGATCCTTTTTAGTAAGGTTTATAAGCAGTATTGCAATCTTACTATAGTTTTTAATAAACCTTTAGTAGTAATTTATTAGACTAAGGAAGCTCTATACTTCCTTTACAGTTTTAGAGACCTTCTATTCCTTAATAGCTGCTATCTTAGCAGGGTCTATTTTAATTTGTCCTAGTGAGATAATATATCCTAAAAAGTTGACTTTCTAGATATAGAACTGATATTTCTCTGGTTCTACTAGTAAGTTTACTGCTTACAGTATTTCTAAAATTTAATATATATATTATTTATGCTCTTCTAAGGTGTTGGAGTAGATTAGTATGTCGTTAAGGTAGATAATAATAAACTTATTAATATATTCCTTAAGGACTTCGTTAATTATTTTTTAGAACGTAGCTGGTGTATTAGTAAGTCTAAAGGGTATAACTAAATATTTAAATAATCTATAGTGCGTTTTAAACGCTGTTTTCTATTCGTCTCCTTTCTTAATTTAGATAAGGTTATAGGCTCCTTTTAGGTTAAGAGCTGTAAACTATTTTACAGTCGTTAGCCTGTTTCTAATTTCAGAGATTAGTAGCAGCGGTATTTAATCTTTAATAGTAATTTTATTAAGTTATTAATAGTTAATAACTAATTATAACTTCCCGTTTTTCTTTAGTATAAATATTATAAGGTATCCTACTAATAAGTTAGAAACTTAGATATATCCTTTTTCTAATTACTTATTTAACTATTCCCTCAGAGTCTTAAGCTCCTTTTTATTAAGGTTATAAATTTTATAGGTCTTAGGTTATTTCCTATCTACTAGCTTAATGGAGTGATCCTATTGCGAGTGTAGTAGTAACCTAGTATCTAAGGTTGCTTTATACAGTTTCTTATACTTCTTATACTAGCAAGGTATTTTAGCGAAAGTGTTCTTAAGTTCTCCTAATTCCTCCTTTTCTTATGCTTTACTTAGTACCTTATTAAGTACTACTAGCTTATCCTTAAATTATATTGTAATTTTATTAATATAAATGCGTTCTGCTTTCTTACGTCGTTTATTATATTATAGTAATACCGGTAATTTGTTTTTTTTAAACCTAATTATTTTCGTTTTCTTTATAATTAGCGCAAAGGATTCTAGTTCTTCTAGTAGTGCAGCTTTACTTTTTTATTCTCTCTAGTATAGTTAATATTCAGGTATATCCTTAATATCTTAATAGACCTTTTTGGTCTTTTATTAGATAATAGGGTTATTATTAAGTAACCAGGGATAGCTTAAAAGAATATTATCTTTTAGTATATCTAGAATACTGAATTAGATATTATAGGTATTCCCGTTAATAATTACGGGGAGATAATTAATTTTATATTTAATAAGTCCTTCTTCTACTTCTACTTCTGTAACGCTTATAATTTATAGTACTTATTTCTTCTGTTAAACAGGGATTTATAGTTCCTTAATTAATTATAGTAAAATTAAATTGTAATCTACTCTGTTATTAATATACGCAGTAATAGTACTATTATTAAGTTATACATTAATTCTAAGTTTTTTTATTTTAGTTATCTTAACTATATTAATTTATATATCCTTTTTTTAATTAAGATTATAATTATCTTTAGTAATAATATTAAGATCCTTGCTTATCTATTATCGTTTTTATTATTATTAGAGTTTTCGGTATTATTAATATTTATTAGTATTAATCTCATCAATGTAGTATTTATAGAAGCGTTTAATATCCTTTTTATAAGTATTACCTTTATTATAGGTTTTAAAGTTAAACCTATTATAGTATAACTAATATTAGAGTTAAATATACTTTTTTTTTTTTCTGTAATGCTTTCTATAATGTTTATCCTTGTATTATAGAGGGTTGGTTTTAGGACAGGCTTTTTTCTATATATACTATTCTTTAACCTTATAGTTAAGGTATTGTTTACATCCTTAGTTGAGGTACTAATCTAGATCAATTTCTGTATAAATTTTATTATATTAGTTTCTGTATTAGATCCAGAGGTGCTAATTATAAATCTTTTGTTTTTAGTATTTTTTATAGAGTATTTTATAATATTATTTTACTATTAGATACCTATAGTCTTCTGTAAATAGGGTATTATATATAAGCTGTATTTTTTCCTATTTAAGGAACTAATCTCTAGTTATAATAGGGTAGTAGGGATCTACGCTAGTACGCTCCGCTAACCTGTTGTTGCTTAGCGCTTATTACTGGGTAATTTTATACTATTTAAGTATTTATTGGAATTTACTTAGGTCTTATTCTTAAGTTCCTTTTAAACTATAGTTAAAGGGTTCTTATCCGCAGGGGTAATTTAGTCCCTGGGGTTCTTATAATTTATAGTTTTTGTATAGTTCTGCGATATTAAGGTTAGTATAACCCGTCTTCTGTCTAGGTTTTTCCCTCTATTTATAAATAAAAGCGTCTACTTATTTTTTTTCTATAGGTAAAACGTTAAGGGCTTTATCTTATACTTCTTTATATTTATCTTAAGTTATATTAACGTTTCCTAGGGTAGTAATAGCTATAGGTATATTATTAATAGCCTGGTTAATTACTTATTAATTAACTTCTTTAGATATTATAGTATTAACTATAATATATTTTAGCTGCT